TACTAATTTAGGAAGTTAGACAAAATTGGACTTTGGGAAGTCTAAGTTATTCTAACTTGTAGACTTAGCTTTGTATAAATTTTGAAAAATAATTTTCCCTACGGGAAGCGCTGCCGAAATTTCTATAAGTATAAGGAGTTGGTTAAATCTTGTCTTGGTTGAACTCAAGTTTACTTTGAGTTCTTATCTGACTTAGTATAAATCAGGAAAATCTACTTTTCTAAAGGAGATGCTGCCCAAATTTTTACTAATTCAGGGAGCTGGACAAAATTTGACTTTGTAGAGTTTATAATCATTTCAGTTATTCGTATTTAAAGTTTTAAACTAATACAAATTATAAAAAGATATTTTTCCTACAGGAAGCGATGCTAAAATTTTCTTAGTTAAAGGAGATAAATTTTATTTTGACAGGTGGCAATACTGACAATCCACTGTGTATGGCGAAGATTATGCAAAAAAATTGCCTTTTCTTTGGACACTGGCTTAGGGGTAGACTTAGATTTACTTGACAGACAGTATTGAGTAAGGATGTGCTATTGGGATTTATTCCCCCACACTGATGATTTAGCTTGGGCATTGACCTGTCTTATGGTACAGGTTCTTTTGATCGTTCTGATTCAAGATTTGAACTAGTTCAACTTGATCCTACAAGAATCATCTTCTGTTATCACTAATAACAGGTCGGTTGCTGATTCGTCGTTCTACAACTCAACTCCAATTCATTCTCATTACCCAACCTAAAAGGTTTTAGCTTTGGTGGTTTCTATTGTTTTATTAAGGTTTTCACCCAGACTTTTATTGAATGGTCATTTAGTGAAGATGCTGAGTATTTATTTTTGAAAGGTTGGATAAAGTTTGGGGCTTGCATGGTTAAAGCGAGGGGTATGGGTATAAAAAATGGTTGAAGTTAACCCCGTGTAGTGTGTGAAATTTTTGTTGATTCTTTGATGTGGTTGCATGTATGTTTTGTGATTTGGACTTTGGAATTGACTGCCTGCGATCACATACATATATATGGCTGAGAGAAGTCCCGATGTGATTGTGAGAAGTGATCGTCATATATTTATTTCCCAATATATATATATGTATAGGGTTGCCGGCGTTCGGGAGGGGCCGAATGCCCGAACCCGAACACCCAAACGTTCGGCAACCCCTCTCGACGCGTTCGGCCGTTCGGCCGAGCGCGAAAAAAAAAAAAAAAAAAAAAAAAAAAAAATCTGAAAAAAAAAATGTTATGCAGGAGAATAAACTAAACAACATTTGCTTCAACGTTACATCCAATTTTTTTACCAAATTTGAAATAAAAATCAAATACTAAACATAAATAATAATAATGCAAATTCGAAAAAATAAAACGATAGTGAAATTATTGAGCGGGCGCGCACGTTCTTGACACCATCATCCTTGGCGATTTTTCATTTTTTTTTTTACTGTGACAAATGACATGAAAATTTATATATCTGTATCTTACATAATATACAATCTACAAATAAATTTTTAAAAAATAATGATTTTTTTCATGCATTGAAATAAAGGAAAAAAAAAAAAGTGAAAAGAGAGAAAAACCAAATTAGTGAGTGGGCAAGTAAGTTTTAACACCACCATCTTTGCCGATTTTTCATTGTTTTTTTGTTGAACAGAATACCTTGAAAATTGAGAGGGAGATACCTTACATCACAAAGAACTCACAAAAAAAAATTCAGAAAAAAAAAAAAAATTTAGGTGCCGAAATAATTTTTTGCGAGGTCCAAACCCCTTTAGGTTCAGGCACCGTACGGGGACCCGAACGCCCCAACGTTCCGGGGTCAGCTTCGGGGCCTCCGTACGTTCGGCTTGTTAACCCTGTATATATATATATATATATATATATATATATATATATATATATAAATTTCAGAAAACAATAACAATATTTAGGTGCCAAAATATTTTTTTGCGGGTTTCGAACCCCTTCAAGTTCGGGCCCCGTACGGGGACCCGAACGCCCGAACGTTCTAGGGTCTGCTTCTGGGCCTCCGTACGCTCGGACTGGTAGCTCGGCAAGGATCCGCCCACCAAAGGGAGGTGACAACTCCCACAAGGTGGAGGTAAGTTGTACCTCATGTTGGCCCTAACCTGTCGTAGGGGCTCGCGAGAGGTATGGCCGGTGCACTCGTACGGAACGGCTTGCGGAAGTTCCATGTGTACCGCGATGAGGTAGACCAACTCCTGCGTGACGCGGCCGGGAGGGCCCCGCACTACGTGGGACTGATGCGCTCGACAGCGCGGCGACCGATAGCTGGGCTAAGTACTGGTGGTTTAAGTGAAGCCAATCCAAAATCTAATTACTTGTAAACTATGGTAATCTAAGGGCATACTCACACGAGGACCAAAAGACTCTAAATCCCAAAATTTGAGTCAGTTTTTGGGTCACACTAGAGAGGCCTGCTACCCAAATGCCTCAAACGATGACCCTTTTGTCAGCAACATGTGGGGCTGCGGGAGGACCCTTTTTGAGTCTCAAATTACCTTTCGTTTTTTTTTCTTAATGTTCGCGAATTGAAGAAAATCGCAGACGAAGAAGACAACCCGCCAAACAACTGGAAATGCGACCAAAAACATTTATGTCGTATAGAAGGCCCACCTGTTATACTGGCGTGAAAAAAACAAAACAAATTCCATCTTTTTGTTTGGTCCTCGCCCGTGTGACAGGGCGCACTTGCCCTGAGTGCAAAGTGTCAGGGTCACATGGGGACCAAATACCTAAAAACAAACAAACCAAATGCCTCAAATTTTTGAGACTTTCGGTCCCCGTGTGAGTATGCCCCAAGTCCTATAAATGCTTGAATTGTAGCAAAATTTTTCCACAGCTAAAAAACATGCACTGTGGGCCATTTTTCTAACTTTTCGCCACTCAGCTAGTCCGATTTTTAATCGCTGATTCAAAGGAGTTACATAGACGCGAACTGGGCCGTGACCGTCTCCATCTGAATGGTGGGACTGGTATATGGGCCTATTTCCACACCACATCGCTTCACTTGAAACTCGAGTGCGCACTCAAATTGCAAAAGTGATTAAAAATTACCTGAGTCATGTTTCGTTCCACTCAACCCTCGAGTCCACCCTTGAAATGAGCGGGAACAACTCACGAGAAATTCAACCAGGCCAATGGCGTTAGAAAAAAGGAGGATAAACGGGAAAAAGAAAACCATTGGGGGGTTCTACACATACCTGAAACCGCCTCGCGCCGCTGGCTTGCACACTTCTCAAGGGCAGCTCAAGTGTGGCCCGAGAGGTCACTTCAAAAATCACCTTGTTTGCCTGGGCAGCACTTGAGCCACCCTTGAGAGTTTCCCGCCCAAACAGAAAAACCTAATGACTACCCCTCAGTGATTAGCCAAACTCAAGGGCACCTTGGAATGGTGTTGGGCAAGAAACCCTTGAGTTTCGAGTGGTGTGGAACGAGCCCCTATGTGCCAAACGTGCTCTCGGCGATACCCCCCCGTGCTGCGTGGTATCAATGCAACTTCTGTGCCTTTTCTTTTCTTTTCTTTTCTTTCTTTCTTTTTTAATTATTTATTATTATTATTATTATTATTTTTTTTTTTTTTTTTAAAAAGTCCATGGTGTTGTAGAGGCCGGTCACTGACTGCACAGTGATCACCTGGAGTGGTAGGCCGTGGGTGTCCTGGAATATGAGACCACCTTCCCATCCAATCCTCACATCAATACTCTTAGCGCACCCCCTATCCCACTATCCTACCTCAGTGTGACGAGCACTCAGGACCATCACCCTACCAACGGGCAGGTAACTTGGACCGAACAGCAGTGATAGGCACCAGGGCTGGTTACCCAGCCCCGACAGAAGCAGAGTCGGACGAGCTTGTCGAACGAGGACTTTGGACGCCAGGCCCAGACAATGTACTACAGGTCTCAAGAGACTCTAGGCCCTAGGTTCAGACAGGGCAGCACTCATTGAAGCAGTCTTACCGTCCTTCCCTAGCTTACCCAAGGCCAGGCGGAACTCGGACTAGCCTGAGTGACTTATACCCTACCCTTAGCCTAGGGTCTAAGCCTAAGCCACTAGACAGTTCTATCCGAATATCAGTAGGAACTCCGGTGACCAGTCTCGTACCTACTACGATACTAGACCCTACCCAGTGATAGACCCCCCCAGTCTGATAGTTGTATATTCGCAATCTATGTGTATATATCCCAAGGCTAGATGTACAGTTAGCACCATGTGTGGAAACTTGTGTATGTAGCCCGTAGGCCATGTATAGTTCGCAAGCTAAGTATGTATGCCTGTAACGGCAATGAGCTGGACAAGGACCCCCCCAAGGACCGAACCAAGCTCGAGCCCGTGACCTTGTAACATATAATCGAATGACTCTGCCATGTGAACGACCAGCGGAAATGGAACGAACGAATGATACGCCAGACTGGGGAGATCAACAGAACACCCAAGACCAACACCCCCAAGCAACCCATGTGAAACCCAGAACCAACATACAACACCATGAACAACCCTTGGGTGGTGCGCAGGCAGTGTCTGTAATAGTACCATGCGTCAGCCCAAGGGAGTGTGCGTCCAGCAGTGCGTCAATCTAACGCCCTGCGGGTGTCCATGCACAACGTTGCAATTGAGTTTTGAACCCACAACCTTATACCACAATGCGCATTTCCAACCGGTGCTCTAACCACTGAGCCACATCAACTGGACACAACTTACCAACTGAGCTACAGTCTTCCCCCGAATACAACGGACGGTCATTATAGCTGAATTTGGGTTATCTTGCAGTCTAGATTCAGCTATAATGACCGTACGTTGTATTCGGGGAAAGACTGTAGGCCCGCAGGCACAGGACCTCGCTCCACTACCGGTAGTCTCGCCATGGGCAAAACGAGAGTGAATCTTCGGCTAGAACATGGAAAGACACACCGCCATGATGTTTGTCTCTCGCGCGTGTCGAGCAGAGTAGTGGAGCGAGGCCCACAGTCTACTGATGCCGTCAGGACGGCCCAGAGGACACGCCAGCGCGCTCAGCTTGGTACACCCATGAACCGTTGAAATACAGACCCAAGTTCAAATCATGATGAACCACGGCGCGGTGAATGGTCAAGACCGTCGACAAATTCCAGCAGCACCATCGTTACTGCCGAGAGGACGAGTGCGAAGAGGACGACGACCATTCAAGCAGCGATCGGGTGGAGAGCTCGGGGGAACGAACGACACGTGTCAAGCGCCAGATCCTTCAAACAGGCAGTGAAGCGGAGATGGTGCCGCCGATCGGCTGCAGCAGGATGCATCTGTCACGGCTGCCATCGTTGTGCGTCTTCTTCGCTGCCATAGCCGCCATCGCCACCATCGCCAACGGCAAAGTAGGCGTTGAGGAAGGTGAAGGTGAACACGTTGGTGGGGACCCTTTTTCCCGGGCAGACCCTGTCTGCGCAAGTCTGGGCGATGTCCGCTTCTCTCCGCCGGTCTGGCCTCCGCAATTTCACGCCCAGCTTTTCCAGAATTTCTCGGGCAAGTTGTCGATCGTGGACTTGTACTATGATTACACCAACGGGCGCAACTTGAACGTAATTCATCATCAGCTAGCGACGTCGTTGTACGACCTAGAGTGGACAAATGGCACGTCGTTCTACTTCGATGTGGAGAAGGGGACGTGCAGAACCATGCACTTCCCAGTGGGGGTACTGAGGCCCACGTGGCTGGATGGGGCGACGTATCGCGGGAAGGAGGTGGTGGATGGGTTTGTGACGAATGTCTGGACCAAGATTGATTTCATCACGTACTACGCTGACGTGGCGACCGGTCGCCCCGTCCGATGGACGTTCTTCAACGGCATGGATATGCACGTGATGAAGTACGAGCCAGGTGTCGTTCTTGCAGACCGGTTCTGGCAGGCACCCGACTTCTGCTTTGGAAGCAAGGGCGGCACGGCGGACGAAGAGGGGAGCGAGACCGATAGCACCATGGGGCAGGTCACGAGATCGAGGGACGACAAGGAGATGAAATGATATTGGGAGCGCCGCGGGAATCGTCGCTGGATGACCGGTTAATAGCGACGAAGCCGGTAATCAAGCTACGGCCACAGCCCCTCAGGTAAATAGGTTAGACAAAGATAGATAGATAGATAGATAGAGAGAGAGAGAGAGAGAGAGAGAGAGAGAGAGAGAGAGAGAGAGAGAGAGAGAGAGAGAGAGAGAGAGAGA